TGAAGACGTTGGCTTAAAGCTCAACATTCAGAAAACTAAGATCATGGCATCTGGTCCCATCACTTCATGGCAAATAGATGGGGAAACAGTGGAAACAGTGGTTGACCTTATTTATTTATTTTTTTTGGCTCCAAAATCACTGCAGATGGTGATTGCAGCCATGAAATTAAAAGATGCTTACTCCTTGGAAGGAAAGTTATGACCAACCTAGACAGCATATTAAAAAGCAGAGACATTACTTTGCCGACAAAGGTCTGTCTAGTCAAGCCTATCGTTTTTCCAGTGGTCATGTGTGGATGTGAGAGTTGGACTATAAAGAAAGCTGAACGTCGAAGAATTGATGCTTTTGAACTGTGGTGTTGGAGAAGACTCTTGAGAGTCCCTTGGGCTGCAAGGAAATCCAACCAGTCCATTCTAAAGGAGATCAGTCCTGGGTGTTCATTGGAAGGACTGATGTTGAAGCTGAAACTCCAATACTTTGGCCACCTGATGAGAAGAGCTGACTCATTGGAAAAGATCCTGATACTGGAAAAGATTGAGGGCAGGAGGAGAAGGGGACGACAGAGGATGAGATGGTTGGATGGCATCACCGACTCAATGGACATGGGTTTGGGTGGACTCTGGGAGTTGGTGATGGACAGGGAGGCCTTGTGTGCTGTGGTTCATGGGGTTGCAAAGAGTCAGACATGACTGGGCGACTGAACTGAACTGAACTGAGCTGAACTGAATGAGGACAGAGTAAATGAATCTACTGTAAAAGGTCACTGTGTCCACCAGCTCTTGTCACTCTGTACTCCCCATGGATCTGCCCTCGGATTGGCTGACGTGATCACCATGTGAATGGTTTGACACTGCTTGGTCACCTGTGAGAGGTCACATGCCAGTGATGGAATAATCTCTCATGCTGGTTTATTCTAGACTTCTGCTGGCCCTGACAATTGCATGTTGGAGTATCTTCATAAGTGTTATTATAGTACGTCTGACTCAACTAGAGCATTTGGGTTGAGATTTTAAGTATTTCATACTTATAACCACCTTGCAAAGGGATTTAGCAATATCCAAAAAGTATTTGAACTAGCAGTCCCGTTTCTAGTGAGGTTACCCTTTTATGGGAGACAGAATAATGGTGCCCCAAAGATATCCCTGACCTAATCTCTACAACCTGTGAGTATTTTACCTACATAGCAGAGAGACTTCAAAGATCTTAAAGATCTTCAGATAGGGAGATTATCCTGGATTAAATAGGTGGATTTAATATAATCCAGGGATCCTTAAAGAGAGATCAGAACAAAGGAATGTTCTCCACCTACCACAGCTGGCTGTGAAGAAGAGGCAGAGAGATAGGAACCGAGCAATGTAGGTGGTCTCTAGAAGCTAGAGAAGGAAGGGCATTCCCTTGGAGCCTCCGGAAGAAATATAGCCCTCTGACACCTTGGTTTCAGCCCAGTGTTACCTTTTTCAGACTTCCACCCTCCAGAACTATATGATAATAAATTTACATTGCTGCAAGCCATTACGTTCGCTATAATGTGTTACAGCAGTAATAGAAGACTACTATACCTTCCACATATATGAAATAACATATGCATAAGGCCGTCACTGTGGTTTTATCTGTAACAGCTAAAAATTGGAAACAACTCAAATATCCATCATTAGAGACTAGTTCAAAAATATAGTGGGATGCTTTGCACCTGTGAAAAAGAGTGAGGAAGCTCTCTATATCTAATATGAGCTGACCTTTAGGATATATTTTCAAGTAGGAAAAAAAGATTGAGAACACTATGTATTTTAGCTTTCAAGTAGGAGAGAAGGAAAAATAAGACACGTACGTTCTTTTTCCAAAAAAACCCCCAAAAAACAAAAAGCACTACAAGGGTAGCCCAGAAATAAGTTAATGAAATAATTAACTATGGGATGTTAAGAACACTACGTATTTTACCTTTCAAGTAGGAGAGAAAGAAAAATAAGAAACATACGTTCTTTAAAAAAAAAAAATACTGCAAGGGTAGCCCAGAAATAAATTAATGAAATAATTAACTATGGCATGTGGGATGAAGCAGCTAGGAAGGAAGCAAGACATCTCTGAGAATACATCTTTTAATGTATCACTTTGACTTTTGTACCAGGTAAATGTTTTATATATTCAAAATATAAAATTATATCTTAAATAATATTAAGATATTAATAATTAATTTTAATAATTTTCTACCTATGATTTACATTCTAAAATCTTTCCTAGACTTATTCTGCTGCTAATGGAATTCTATCCCAAATCAAAATAAATACTCAGGATCCAGAAACTGTTTCCTGACAGAACGGTCAAAATCATAGACTGCTGGTGGGTTAAGATTGACCATTTCTGCTGACTTTGCTGTTTCTTAAATCATATTTTTACATTACAGACCTCACTGACAGGCTATAGGACCTGGTACACCACTTACCAAAAAATAGAGAAAATCAATTTCATAGAGCTAGCAATAGCGCCATCTGGTGGCAAAATTTAAAGCTATAACAATAAAATTGAAGTAAAGGTTCTTTTAGAAGTGCTGCGTTCTTTAATGTTGAAGTTATATATGGCAGAAAAAAGCAACCAGAAATGGCTGGTACTAAGATCTCTTTTTCTTATGAATACAAGGTTTATTTGTCTTCCTTCTTTCAAGCCCTGAGCCAGCCATTTTCCCCAGGTTGCCTGGAGAAGTACAGAAGGAGACATGAGAGAAAGAACTGTGGGAGGTGGAAATGGCTCCTTCACAAGGCGAAGAGGATGACAAAGGCCACCATCAGGCAAAAAGAGCCCCATGGCCTCAGAGAGGGCAAAGCTTAGAATGGTGTAGAAAGCTGCTGCTCTAGAAAAGGGTTCCTCCCATAACCAACGATGAGGCTCCCAAAGGAAAGCAGAGAGTGTGAGTTGCTCAGTCGTGTCCGACTCTTTGCAACCCCACAGACTGCAGCCCACCAGGCTCCTCTGTCCATGGAATTCTCCAGGCAAGAATACTAGACTGGGTTCCTATTCCCTTCTCCAGGGGATCGTCCTGACCTGGGATCGAACCTGGGCCTCTGGCATTGCAGGCAGATTCTTTACCATCTGAGCCCCCAAGGAAGCCCACGACTCCCAAACACAGTCCTAATTCCAGTCCTGGAGCCAGCCACCCCTGCTGTGGCAGACCCAGCCCCACTGTATCAATGTCCCTTGAAAGGACACTGGTCTGAAAGCTGTGGCTAGGAGTAAGTGCAGTGGTCAGGGAACACGGGGCTGCCGGGCTACTGAGGCCTTCAGCTGTCAGAGTCGCCGGCCTTTTTAGCACCACTGCAGACAGTGACCAGCTCAATAGTGGAGAGGTCCTCCTGATCCGGGAGGGCGTGCCTGCGTGCTAAGTCGCTTCAGTCGTGTCCGACTCTTTGCAAGCTTATGGACTGTAGCCACCGGGCTCCTCTGTCCACATCCACAGGATTCTCCAGGTAAGAACACTGGAGCGGGTTGCCATTTCCTCCTCCAGGGGATCTTCCCGACCCAGGGATCGAACCCCCGTCTCCTGGGTCTCCTGCACCAGCAGGTGGGTTCTTCACCACTAGCGCCACTTGGGAATCTGATCAAGGAGGGACAGTGGAGACAAACTTGGCACAAGTGTACATTTTCAGGGGATGAAGGGCTGTTTCAGGAGAGCTGCTCCCAGTGCAAAGGAGACGGGGCTGGGGGGTGCGGGGGGGGTGTGGCTGGTAGTCAGATCCTATCAATTCCTGTGTAAAACTGAAGTTACTCTTAATTTGATATGTTACATTTAAAAATGCATTTAGCTTGCCCAAAATTCTTAGTGAAATTCAAGCAACAAGAAGTAATGTTGAAAAAAATTATCCTAGTGTCTATTATGGACATGCCAAATCTATTTTCATAATTCTAAAATCTATGTTATAAAAATGCAGCCAGGATGAGTTACACAAATCTTTCTGGTTATCTGGTTTCCTAAAAGTGAGAGAAACCACTACCATCTCCCAGGAGAATCTAAAATGTTGAATACAATACACCTTATTTGTTTTTCATCCTTCCTTTCCCAGTACTGGCCAATGAATGAAATTATTTCCTTCCTTAAGTCTTACCAAAAGTAGATTTTCTTTCTTTTTAGATGATTACATAAGACCTGGGTTTGATTCCTGGGTTGGAAAAATCCCCTGGAGAAGGAAATGGCAACCCACTCCAGTATTCTTGCCTGGAGAATCCCATGGACAGTGGAGCTTGACAGGTTACAGTCCACGGGATCACAATAGTTGGATACAACTTAGCGACTAAACCACCATCACTACCATATATTAAATGAAACTATAGAAGTGAGGCAATTAAACAATTTGGAATAAAAATATCTTTGTTTTAAAAATCTTGAAATAATTATAAAAACACTATTTGGATGATTATTTCCATTGTGCCGATGCCTAAGTTGCTATGAGACAAATTAATTTGGTTCAAAAGAAATGTGTTGAGCACCTACTATGTGCCCTGCATGACCCTGATTCAGGTATTGGAAGGGCTAATGGAGGTGCCTAAGAGACAGGGAAGCTTCTTTGAAGTTCACTAGAGAACTGGTCTGACTCTCTGCAACCCTATAGGCTGTAGCCTACCAGGCTTCTCTGTCCATGGGATTCTCCAGGCAAGAATACTGGAGTGGGTTGCCATGCCCTCCTCCAGGGGATCTTTCCGACCCAGGGATGGAACCCACGTCTCATAGGTCTCCTGCATTGGCAGGTGGGTTCTTTACCACTAGCGCCACCTAGGAAGCCCTAGAGAACTGGTAGTTAGTGGTGTGAAGGTTGGGGCTTCTGACTGAAGGAGGGCAAAAACAGACAGACCTGTGTAAGACTGGGGGAAAACAGAAAGGATGCTAATAAAAAGGCAGGAAGAAAAATTATGGAAATGCATGGACAGCTTTCTGATAGGGGTTGCCATTATTTCACTTTACTCTTCAGCTATCAGTATTGAGTCGTAAGGGAGGGTACAGTTCAGGAATTACCATCTCTCCGGGCATCCGCCACCACCTTTGCCGCGGACTTGCTCATCACGTGCACGATGTAGAGAGGGCAGTTCACGGCGCTGGCTATGGTGATGGCCCTCAGCGTGGCTTCTGCCTCCACCGCTTCTGGACGGCACAGCTCATGGCCCTCGGGACCCGTTATCCCCAACGCCAACATCTTCTTTGCTCCCTGAAAAGGCAGCAGGAACGTACATGGGAGAAAGCTTTGCTAATGACAAATCCCATCATTATGTTGTGAAATAAATACACTGCCAGGTTTTTATTTTAGATCTGTTTGGCCTAGGTGGGTGTGAACGTGTGTGTATACAGTGGGAGTTTTTGGTTAAAAAAAAAAAATCTACTAACTGATTTGTTGCTGTTTAGTCACTAAGTCGTGTCTGACTCTTTGTGACCCCATGGACTGTAGCACACCAGGCTTCTCTGTTCATGGGATTTCCCAGGCAAGAATACTAGAGCGGGTTGCCATTTCCTTTTCCAGGGGATCTGCCCGACCCAGGGATAGAACACACGTCTCCTGCTTGGCAAGTGGGCTCTTTACCGAGCCATCTGGGAACCCTGCTACTCTGATAACATGTTGTTAATTTTTCATATACATATTTCACAATTAAATTATTTTGATTGAAAAGGTGAAGAAGATATGAGGTCTGTTCTAATCACATTCTTTGAAAAGACCCAGGAATCAAACCGGGGTCTCCTGCATTGCAGGTGGATTCTGAACTACCAGTTGAAGCCCCTTTGAAAAGTAGGGTCCATATTTAAGACATTGGTTCAGAACAAACAAAACGAAGAATCCCAGCCCCCCACATTAGATTCTTGTTGAAATGACTCATGCTATTGTGTAGTTAGTTCTAGTCTTTACCAATTCATACTCTTCACTGCCTTCTCCTCTAACCCACAGAATGATATTAGTCTAGTATTTCTCCTCTCCAAAAGTGTTATTTCTTCCTTACAAGAAAGGCAGGAAGTCAAGACAGAGTGTCAAAATGACTTGCCCGGTATCATACAGCTAGGACGTGGAAGAGTCCAGTTTAAATCCCAGTCTGTTTGAGCTTACAGCTCATGCTTTCCTCGTATCATCCCCCACCCCCACCTTCTGGCCATGCGGCCACCCTCTCACTGACTTTAATGGGAACTGAGCCCAGGGAGAGAGAAAGATCAACCAGTATAAAGGGTAAGAGGCAGCTCTTTAAATCTTGCAGATGGTATACCCTTTGGGCATTAATGATGGAGCTAACATGAGAAATAAATATCATCTAGATTCCTTCAGAGCACATTTTAATACCCTATTTCTGAAAAGAGTGGGGCTTAAAACAGCTACCTAATGCTCTGCTTAAGTCATCAGATTATGCTGATGCCCACACTTTGGTATTCTGAACCAGCAGCTTGAGCATACTTTAAATGAAAAAAAAAGTGCTGGGGACACAAAAAAAAAATATCTGTGCTTTTAGAATAAACCTTGTTTGAGATCTAATGGCTCCTCTGAAAAAGGGAACTCCTCATTCCAGTGCATATACCACCTGCAAAAAAACTCAGAGCAAGGACAACAAGTAATTGGAGTCAAGTGTTTCCAAGTTGCTGAAAATTAGTTCCTGAATTTCCTTTCTCCCAGTCCTTTAAATGAATTTACCTACTTGGGGTCAGTCATCTTCACCTTAACTCATGGGCAGTTTCCCTTCTGTGGAAACTCAACAGTAATTACCTACCTCTGCAATTAGGTCTCCATTTTCGGCATGAACTTGAGCAATGGCTCCGATCTCCTTGCACCGAGAGAAGGCCTCGTATAGCTCCACATCCCTCACCATGTACATATCTTTATAAGCCATAAACATCTTGAAAGAGTTCACACCTTTATCCTGGGTGAGGATTTTCATTTCTTCTTTAACCTAAAAGGGCACCACAATCACAGCAAAATGTCACCCTTTAAAGATAATACCAGCATTCTCCAAAATGCTGCATTCAGAAGAAAATAAAGTAAAACGAGGACATCAGTTGAACTCCGGAAAAATGTAATTAAGGAATCGATCATTCCCCTAGGTCAGACTTCGTCATCTGATGAAATGCTGTGAAAGAGTTAAATCATGAAGGAGTTAATAGTACTCTCCCTCCCCCAAATACTTCACTTTTACACTTAGATATGCAATTCTCAGTATCTAGAGAAACAGATACTGAGGTGGGAAGAAATTATTCTAGAACATGAAAAGACAACCGTTTGGCAGCAACAGAAGCAGTCGTGTCTCTAGAAGGAATCAGAGCTAATGTGAAGTAAGGTTTGGGGTCAAATCTGAACCCCACAGGATGAGTTAGAAGATGGAGGTGGTGGAAGATGTGAACTGACCCACTGGCAGCTCCTGGAGGTGAAAGATTCTGAACCAGTGGGAAGCCCCAGGAGCCTTCTGGGTTGCCAGCTCAAAGGTTCTGATCACCAATTCCAATGTGTGAGTGGGGAGACTGGGGGTTCCTTCACACCGCCAAGCAGGTCTCCAGACATCAGCCAGGAGGCATCTTACAACTCAACTCAATTTTAACACTACCTGGAGACTGCACCATGCTCCACAGGTTAAGAGTTCAGTCCTATGGGGGTGTCCAGGTTGTCACCTGCACTTCTGACCAACCAGCTATAAATCAGAGGTTTCCACAGCCCCCTCCTCAGGTTCAATTAATCTGCTGGAGTGGTTCACAGAGCTCAGAGAAACGTTGTACTTACTGGGTCACCGGTTTACCATAAAAGGACATGACAAAGGATACAGACGATCATCAGATGGAAGAAGTACCTCATAGATGAAGGAATGGGGAAAGGGCACAGGGCTTGTGTGTCCTCTGAGAGCACCAGTCTTCCCAAACCTCCACTCGGTCATCATCCTTGAAGCTCTCCAAATCCTATCCTTCTAGGTTTCGTGGAGGCTCCATTACACAGGCAAGACTGATGAAAGCATTGGCCACAGGCAACTAACCCAGCCTCCAGCCCCTCTCCCCGCCTCAGAGGTCAGTTGGGTGGGACTGAAATTTTTAACCATCTAATCACACAGTTGGCTCCTGGGTCAATCAGCCCCTGTCCTTAGGTGGTGTCTAAAAATCACCTCTTTAATTCCTTGTAGCTCAGATGGTAAAGAATCTGCCTGCAATGCGGGAGACCTGGGTTCAATCCCTAAGTTGGGAAGATCCCCTGGAGAAGGGAAAGGCTACCCACTCCAGTATTCTGGCCTGGAGAATTCCATTAACTATACAGTCCCTGGGGTTGAAAACAGTCGGTCACGACTGAGGGACTTTCACTTCACTTAATATAATGGACCCTTTCATTGCTCTCATCATGTAGGAAATTCCAAGGGTTTTAGGAGCTCTGTGCCAGAAATGGGGACAAAGATCAGACATGAATTTGTTCTTATAAATCATAATATTATACCAATGATAAGAGATAAGATAGGCTCAAAACTAGTTTAGTATTGCCTTTGCAGGTCCATTTTTAGTCTCAACAATGACTAATAACTTCAAAGGAAAAGTCAGAAGATTTGACCAAATAAAACCGCTTGAATTTCTACAAGTTGAAAAATACACACATACACATAAAAAATATACACATATAAATATAACATAAAACAAAAATATATAATAAAACATAAAAAATATGTAACAAGGATAGGATTATTGCTTAGTTAATAAAAATGTTAGAGTTATTGCTGCTTCTACTTGATAAGAAAAACCCTAACATTCTAGATGAAAAATGTTATTTACAGCTCAAACAGTAAATTCAAATGACTAATAAACATGGAAAAAATGTTAACCTTCCTACTCATTAAAAAGTGCAAAATAAAGCAAAGCAATCTTTTCCTACTGTATCAGCAAAGTTTTAAAAATGACAATATCACATGTTAAGTTACTCGCTTCCATCACTGTTTACTCTTTTACTAATTTTTCTCACTTTTCTCCATGGCACTTTATCAGCTGGCATATAATATATTTACTTGTTGATGACCTGCCTCCTCCTCTAGAATTTTCACCCCATATGAGGAGGGGCTTTGTACAGTTTGGGCTTCCCAGGTGGCTCCGGGGTAAAGAATCTGTCTTTACCCCAGCAGGAGACACATGAGATGTGGGTTCAATCCCAGGGTGGGGAAGGTCCCCTGGAGAAGGAAATGGCAACCCATTCCAGTGCTCTTGCCTAAAAAATCCCATGGACAGAGGAGCCTGGCAGGCTACAGTCCATGGGGTCGCAAAGAGTCAGACACAACTGAGCATGCATGTCAGCTAAGCTTGTATAGTTTATCTGTTGCTATATCCTAGAACAGTGCCTGGTCCATAGTGGCCACTCAAAAACTTTCTGTTGGATGAATAATGAATGAAAAGGAGCAGAAAACACCAAAATGTTGAGAGTGAACATCACTGACATGATGAAATGAGTTTCAAGATGCATTAAGTGACAACAGCAAGGGTAGAACTTGGTATAATGTGCTTCATTTTTAAAAACTTTTTTATAAGTTTGAATTTTCTACCGTGAGTCTATTATTTTTATAGTGGGGGAAAAAATGCTTTAGACTGTTAGAAAATTCACACAACGGGCTTCCCAATTACAACCCACATTGCTCAAGTGAAATACCTATGACTCCCAGAGTAGAATAGCCTTCTGCAGATGGCCTTGTTAAACATCCCTGTCACCCATATCCGTATCCGTGGGCAAGTCCCACTGTGCAAGTCAGGCATAGGAGTTTAAGCCTTGCTATTCCAAAAGTGTGGGACCTGAACAGAAATAGCAGCAGCACCTGGGAGCTTACTAGAAATGCAGAATCTCAGGCTCTATTGCAGAATCCCAGACCTACTGCTATGGATTGACTGTGTCCCCCTAAATTCATAGGTTGAAATCCTAACCGCTAGTACCAAATGTGATCTTGCGCATGCATGCTAAGTCCCTTCAGACGTGCCCAACTCTTTGGGACCCTATGGACTCCCACCAGGCTCCTCTGTCCATAGGATTCTCCAGGCAAGGATACCAGAGTGCGTTGTCATGCCCTTGTCCTGGAGTCTTCCTGAAGGGCAGGAAGGCACGCCTTTCTTGAAGGGCAACCCATGCCCTTCTTACATCGCCTATCTTGACAGGCAAGTTCTTTACCACTAGCACTACCTGGGAAGCCCAGTACCTCCTTGGGCTTGTATAAAAAAATTAATAAATAGAAGGTGGCTCAGATGGTGAAGAATCTGCCTGCAGTGCAGGAGACCTGGGTTCGATCTCTGGGTTGGGAAGATCCCCTGGAGAAGGGAGTGGCTACCCACTCCAGTATTCTGGCCTGGAGAATTCCCTGGACAGAGGACCCTGGCAGTCCAGGGGGTTGCAAAAAGTCGGACACGGCCCAGTGATTTTCACTCACTCAATTAAGTAGAGTCAAGAGACCAGAAGGGGGAGCTCTCATACCTGCATGTACACGCAGAAGAAAGGGTCCTCCTCTTTCTTGGCAAGGACCAGAACAATGAAAGGTCATGGACTCTGTTTACTGGAGCCCTCCCAATTTCCTTCTCTCCTCTATGAGAGCCTGCGCCTTCCCTTGCCCTGTGGGGACTTGCACGTGGCTCAACATGTTTGTAGACCCTGAACTGCGGTTCTTCTGTTGATCTCAAATATGCCCATCTCTGCTGGAGAAATATCAAGCGGTCTCCTTGTTTCAGGTCAACATTTGGAAATAGGGCATTAACCAAAGTAATCAATTAAGATGAGGTCACTAGGGTGGGCCATAATTCAGTGGGTTGCCATGCCCTTCTCCTGGAGTCTTCCTGAAGGGCAAAAAGGCATGCCCTTCCTGAATTCAATTTATAAAAAGGGGTGATTAAGCCACACACACACACACACACACACAGAGAACATCATGGGAAGACAAAGGCAGAGATTCAGGTGATGTTCCTACAAATCAAAGAATACCAGAGATTGCCAACAAACCAGCAGAAGTTGGTGAGAGGCTTGAAAGAGATTATTCCTGACAGCTTTCAGAAGGGATCAACCACACCAACACCTCGATCTTAGGCTGTGAGTCTCCTGAATTGTGAGACAGTACATTTCTGTTGTCTCAGCCACCCAGAAATTTGTAGTTCTTTGTTAAAGCAGTCCTAGCAAACGAATACACTCACTGAACATAATCTGTACTTTAACAGTATTCACCAGGTGAATTATTTACATATTAAAATGTGAGAAACACTGGTACGCGCAAGCATCTTCAACTTTGCTCTATCTTATAAAACAAGAGTGGGAGGAAAGGAGGAAAGGAGAAGGGAAAGAAGGAGGGGCCGGAGAGAAGGAGGAAGCCAGGAAGATCTTAAACGCAAAAAGGAGGTCAGATGCCTCATTTAGAATGCCGTTTCTGGAAAAAAATTAACTTTTTCTCTGGACTCTAAACCTTGCTACTACATTTGCTGAACTATCTGATTACTTGTTTTATATTAACTTAGTGTCTACAACCCAAATTTGGGGAGGAAGTAGGGACAGAAGTTACATGGTGACTTCAAATAAAGTCACCCCTGTGAGCCCTTTCTAGTAAAAAGATTTCTGAATTAAGTCCAATGTGGAAAACATGCTATTGATTTAAATCACAAGTAAAACTTTCTTCCAAAGTACACATACATGTTTTCATGGGAAAAATAAGCATATTTTAACATATCATAAAACTATCTTTTCTATCTGAGTCATGTTATTTCTGCCATGGTCTAAATAGTGAGCAGATACAGAAGACTGTGGAAACTCTGTTTTGAAATGATCTGACCAGGAGTTGATATTAACAGAGCACCAGCTTAGCGCACAGCTCAGAGAAGGCCTTGAAAACATTCCTGGTCTGTCCTTTCCTTGTTTTTTTTCCAGATATTAAAAATATTTATCTAACTGAAGTCTAATCTGTGGGAAAAGACTCCTTAAAAGTGCCTGGAGATGTTGAAGTTGAAAAGTCCAGTACTTTTAAAAATTGCATTTAAAGTATTTACAATTCATGTCTTAAATATTAGGAAAGACTATTGTGAATGAGTATAAGGGATTTATCCTATTATCTTCATATGCTTTTTCTTTTTTTAATTTTCTCAATTGATAATACTTCACAGGATTCAAAACTCAAATGGTACAAAACAGTATGCAATGAAAAGTCTTCCCTCCAATTGTGAGTTCCAGGAAGCAACCAACATCACCGGTTTCTTACGTTTTGATGTTGCCCGTTCCTTGATCTTTGCACAGAGCAATGACTAAAGAACTAACTAGAAGAAATTGGACCCCTCCATGGTTCACCTGGTCACTCCACCACGTCACGGCCACATGAAGGCTGTAGTCGCAGCAGACTTTGGGATCAGCCCAGCTTCGCCAGGTGTCAAAGGCCTCAATGAGGGAGTGGCCTTTGTGTGGAATAGCAAAATCAATGATCATGGTGGTGCCTCCTGCCAGGGCAGCCTGAAATCACAAAGAGAGTTTCAACAGGTTAGCCATTGGTTTTCTAGTTGAGTCATTTATTTCCTTGAACAGCACGCATTTACAAGCACTTGGGAAAATTTGACAGGTCCAGGAATTTGCACAAAGATGCTGCCTGTGTAAAAGATCCAGAGAGACATGAATAGATGTTCCATAAATTAAAGTCTGAAGCATTAAAAGAGTTAGAATGGCTTCTGCAAAAAGAATGACACGTCTGGTGAAATGAAAATGGCTTTGATCCAAAGAAAACAGAGTGAAGGCTGTAAAGAAAAGCCAAAATGGAAAAACGGAGATGATTCAGACATTTTTCTTCTCAAGAGAACTATATTCATCACTGTAAAATCCACTTCATCAGACTCAGTCCCGGAGAACTGTATCTCTAACGACGCTGGGTTCCACACAGACTCTCAGAAGACTCACGTGATTCCCAGCTGGTCTTCGTTCAGGCAATTCCTGAATGGATCCTTAATCCTCAGCTGTCTCCTCTAATCCACCTCCAGTGCTCTGGCCTTACTGTTACCCCTCGGCTTGCTCCTCATGCCCCCAGTTTTGCTATTACTTCCTCCAATACAAACCCCTTTATTGTAATTAGAAGGAAATTTCAAAGCACAAGTGAAGTGGCCTCTTGACTCCAAGACATAAAATTGAATGCTTCCCACTGCCCCTGGGATAGCCTTTAACCTTAACATGGTCTACAAGGCCCTGCATGATCTGCCTTGAGACTTCTAGTCTCTTTGGCATATTATATTATGGTACATTAAGACTGGATTAAAAACTATTAAGTTATATCAAATGTCTTTGACTAATTATTGACACTGATTTTATTACAAGATGGTTAAGTATGTTTTTAACTGTTGCATTCAAACAATGGTTGAATACTCACGTATAGTTGTGAGAACTGGGCCGTAAGGAAGGCAGAATGCTAAAGAAGTGATGCCTTCGAACTGTGATGCTGGAAAAGACTCCTGAAAGTCCCTTGGACAGCAAGGAGATCAAACCAGTCAATCTTAAGGGAGATCAACCCTGAATATTCACTGGAAGGACTGATGCTGAAGCTGAAGCTCCAGTATTTTGGTCATCTGATTCGAACAGATGACCCATTGGAAAAGTCCCTGATACTGGGAAAGATCGAGGTCAGAAGAAGAAGAGGGCATCAGAGGATGAGACGGTTGGACAGCATCACCGATGCAATGAACATGAACTTGGGCAAACTCTGGGAAGTGGTGAGGGACAGAGAGGCCTGGCGTGCTGCAGTCCATGGGGTTGGAAAGAGTCGGACACAACCGGGTGACTGAACAACAACCACAATTCAAATGAAGAAAAACAACAGGCAGAGATACACTAGCGCATGGGTTAAGGGCACTGACCGCACAGGCTCACTGGTTCCAGGGCACAGCTCAGCTTCAACATTACACTCCGAGTAACTCCTTCACTCCCTCACTCCTTCCTTCCTTCCTTTTTAAAATTAAATTTATTTATTATTTATTTTTGGCCGCTCTGGGTCTTCATCACTGCAAGCGGGCTTTCTCTAGTTTCAGAGAGCAGCGGCTGCTCCCTAGCTGTGATGCACAGGCTTTCTCCTCGCAGAGCCCAGGCTCTATGGGTGCGTGGGTGTCAGTCGTTGGCGGGTCCTGGGCTTAGCGGCCTCTTAGCACATGGAATCTTCCCAGACCAGGGATCAAACCCGTATTCCCTATATTGGCAGGTGGAGTCTTTACCACTGGACCAGCAGGGAAACTCTTTCCTTTGTTAGTTCATTTGTACCTCCCTTCCTTGTATAGTATTGTGCTGTGTATCAGGTCCTCAGAACTTATACATCTTGTAACTGAAGTCTGTGTCTTTTGAACCACAGCTCCCCTTTCCCCCCCACACCTGCTTCTCAGCCCCTGACAACCACCATTCTACTCTTGGATTCTCTGAGTTTGGTTTTTTTAGATCCCAGATATAAGCGAGTTCATATTATTTCACTCAGCACAACGTCCTCAAGGTCCATCTCTGTTGTCACAAATGGCAGGATTTCCCTCTTTCTAAATTATATTCCATTGTATATACACAGGTTTCCTTTATCCACACATTCATAGATGGACACGTAAATTTATTTATATCTTGACTTGTTAATAATCCTGCAATGAACAGGGGAAAGCAGACAGCAACTTCTCAACCTCCGGGTGCCTCTGATTGCTAACCTGTGAAGTGAAGACAATAATTGTACCTAAACCATAGAGTCGCTGGAAAGACTAAACTGAGGTGATGTATATAAGTGCTTAATATGGTGTTTGGTTCATGGTAAGTGCTTCATAAGCTTCAACTCACAGTGAGCCTTTGTGAACTAGGCATTTTCCACTTGTCATATGTCAGCTCATCTCACCATCAGAGACAAAGTTACATGTTGTCCTGTTACAACAAAGAAGGGCCTGCTGCCAGCTTCGCCCACATGTCACCTTCCCCTACCCCCCACCCCACAGCCTCCCTCCCCAGACATATTGAGTGCTCCCATGTTCCAGCAGGTGCACCAGCTATATTCCATCTCTTTTTTCGTACTTACTTCAGTGGATTTTTACTTTTTCCTTAAATCATTTGGTCCCACTCCAACTCTTTTTGCTCTCAAAAATCTCACTATTTATACAGGATTCTGTACTTTTATCTCTGTCTTTAGATAACAATTGCCTTATGCATGGTGAAACAATACATATTTGCATTTCTTAAGAAATCCCTATGGGTATAATGAGAGTACCAGAAAAAATTCCTTAGGCTCTGGATTTTTATTTGAATGCAGATTAATCTTCTCACCTTCTTCCTTCTAAAATGTCTTCTCATAAATATCCCTTGAGGATGAAGGGCATTTTTCTAATAGAAAGTGCTGTTAATTAAAGTGTTGAAAGAAAATACCTTTTTCCTGTCTATTGAACTAGAAAATCAAGCTTAAAGAACAATTCTTCCCATATTAAAAGTCTCATCACATGCAGGATGTGGGAAACTAAATACAGTGCTGGTGGGAATATAAATAAAACAATGCAGCCACTTTGGACAATAGTTTGGCAGTTCCTCATAGAGTTATCACGCGACTTAGCAATTCCACTTCTAGGTATATACTCGAGAGAAATGAAAACATGTCCACATAAAAACTTGTACACAGATAATTAGAGCGGCATTATTCATAATAATCAAAAAGTGGAAACAACTCAAATGCCCATCTACTATTGAATGAATAAACAAAAGGTGGTGTGTTCATACAATGAAATATTATTTGGCCATAAAAAGGAATGAGATTCTGATACATCTGCTACAACTTGGATGAACCTTGAAAACATGATGCTAAGTGAAAGAAGCCAGTCACAAAAGGTTACATATCCTATGATTCCATTTACATGAAACGTCCAAAAGGGATAAATCACACATTAGGAAGACTAGTGGTTTCTTGGGGTTAAGGGGGTTGGGGAAAGTTGGGATGAGAGCTAAAGGGTACTGGGCTTCTTTTGAGGGAGATAAAAATGTTCTAAAAATGTGGTGATGTTTGCACAGTTCTGTGAATGTACTAAAAAACATTAAACTGCACACCCAAATGAATAAATATTATTATATATGAATTACATCTTAATAAAATTATTACCCCCCAAAAGTCTACCCTATGTAAGCTATTACATGGAATGAAAGGGGTGGTTACACACAATGCAGTGAAAAATCTTCCCTCCAATTCTGACTTCCACGAGGCAACACACATCACTAGTTTCTTGTGTTTAGACATTGCCCATTCCTTGATCTTACACAGTGCAAGGACTAAGCAACTAAACAGAAGAAACTAGACCCCTAGTGGTTCACCTGGCCATTCGACCATGTGATACACAAATGATCAGACACACGAATAGTCAAACAGTCTAGAGGGGGAGACAGAAATACAAACAAACAATTATAAAATAATCAGATGGTGATAACAGGTAGCAAGTACACTTCCATAGTAAGCACAGTATAGGGATTGTGAAAAGGAAGTTAACATTGCTAAGCTCCTAGAAGAGATGGGCTTCCCAGGTGGTGTTAAGTGGTAAAGAACCCACCTGCCAATGTAAGAGACATAAGAGATGCGGGTTCAATCCCTGGCTTGGGAAGATTTCCCTGGAGGAGGGCGTGGCAACCCACTACAGTAGTCCTGCCTGGAGAATCCTATCGACAGAGGAGTCTGGTGGGCTACAGTCCATGGGGTCGCAAAGAGTCAGACACAACTGAAATGACTTAGCATGCATGCTAGAAGAGGCAGAGGGAAAAGACTGCTGGAAAATTCAGAGGAGGGAAACAGATCAGAGGAGGCTGGGATTTGAATTAGTGTCAGGACATACACTCGAAGCTGCCACTAATGGTAGTAAAATCTAACTGGTAGAGAGCACCTATTATGTTCCAGGAACTATTCTGATGTTCTAAGAGTTTAAACCACCTCAGCAGCTCTGCAGCAGGTCATATCATTAACCCCGTTTTAGAGTTGAGGAAATCGAGAATAGCACCATGAAATAACTCCCTAGTTCTCACAGCTAGAGAATGACAAAGGCTAGACTGGACCCAGGTCATTGGGTTCCAGAGCCTGTGCTCTCAGGAACTGCCAGGAGCAGGCAGAAGTGCTGAGAAAAGGGTCCGCGAGGAAGAATCAGCAGAAAAGTGGTAAAGGGCAGAATGTATCTGCACAACAGAAACCGACTCACAGAGAACAGAAACTCGTGGTTATCTAAGGAGAGCAGGAATCGGGGAGGGACAGTTAGGATTGAAGAGATACAAACGACTGTGTGTAATAAAATAGAGCAGCAACAAGGATATACTGCACAGTATGGAAAATTATAGCCATTATCTTGTAATAACCTATAATGGAGTATAATCTGCAAAAGCATTGACTCACTATGCTGTCCACCTGTAACTGACATAATATTGTAAATCAACTAACTGTACTTCAAAAACAGGGGAAGGTGGGAGGGAGGTTCCAGGGGGAAGGAACATATGTA